CAGCCAGGCCAACACAATCAAGTCCCCGACCACCTCCACCCTCCACACCTCATCACCCTCCACCTTCGACTCATCCCCACCATCCTCAACATTCTCAACCATCTCCTCCTTCTCATCCTCCCCCTTCTTCTCCCCACTCGAACAGACCACCAACGAGCCGCATCCAACAACCCATCAACCCGATCACCACCACCACAACCTCCTCGAAAATCACTCTAATCACTCTCACTCTTCCTCTCAACCTAGGACCTCCCCCGTCAACCTACACAGCTCTCCAAACAAGATCACCACCCAACAACAATCATCATCACCCTTCCTCCCAAAACAATCCAGCAACAACAACAATAATAATAATCAGTTTCATCGCTTGGCTCTCGAACTCTCACTACCCGGAACCAACTCAGCACTCGAATCTGCCCTCAAGCTGCACGACCTTACTCAGCCGCAACAACACCATCATCAATCCATCGGCTCAATCCCCACCTCAGACGCTAGCACAATCGATCCTCCTAGCTCACAGTCCCGTCGAGGAGCTCCCCCGCTCGAATCCCCCCGGTTTAATAGCGCCAGCTATTATTCCATGCCACTGCCCAACTTACCCAGTCCACCAATCTCTTCCCACTGTAAGTTTCTGTTTTCTATATGTCCCTCGATCTGTTGCAGATGCGCGTTCCATTTTTGACCAAACATGTTCTCTTATAGCTCAATTGCGGATCCAAAAATGTCCGTCTTCAACCTCCAAGAACAGTACCGCAATCACCTCGAGATCGAAGAAGAAAGCTCGCGGGCCAGGCAGTGACAGGAATAACACCTCTAGTTTTGATACCATCCCGCTCATCCTTCCCAAATTCTCGCGCCCTTCTGAACTCAATCTGCCCCAATCGCTCCTCGACAGTCGGCCCTCACTGGCTAAGCAGCCTGATACATTGGCCTCGATCTATATGGTCTGTGGTTTACCCAAGAACCCTCAGTGTTGGACCCTAGCCCAGCCAGATTATCTGCCCTCCCATCTCCCTGGTGCCGTATCACGTTTCTGGAGACCAGAGGTCCTTGGGACAACAGTCTCGGGTCAGGAGATACTCTCAGCACCACCCGCTGAGAATAACCTGCCAAGCAATAATGCACCTAGTCCAGAGGCGATCGGTAAAGAGGAATTATCTAAGATCCAAAGTAAGGCCATCAAGCTGGCCTTCGCTCGCGAGGTTGAAGTCATTGCCTCCACCGTCCAACCCCCAAGCACCACCCATTGTTTCTCCTTCACCGTTCCGGCCCAACCAGCCGGCGACCAGCACGAGATCTCGGGAGCGCTTGGCCATCAATGGGATCTCGGTCTATCCTGCTCGAGCGACTCGACCAGCCGCCAGCCGGCCGAGAAGACCTATTATGCCGCTTGTCTACAGGTCTGGTCCCACACAGACCGGCTCCGGGCCGAGGCGATCTGCAAGACACTCGAGGAGGGCTCCAAGGCCAAATCGGCCGCCGTCGTCCAGGCCATCAAGGCGGCTGCCGCGGGACGCAAACTCGGCTCAAAGCTTGAGAAGGCCGTCAACTCTCCCATGGGCTTCCTCCCCTCCTCCGCCGAACTCTCCGGCAACGCGATCGTTCATCAATCCTCCGGCCCCAACCGGCTTTCCGCTCACTCGGGCTTCGAATCCACCGACACCGAGGACGCCGATGGGTTCTTCTCTGAATCAGAATGGGAAACCGGTACTGAACTTCTCTCCGATAACATCGCCGGCCGACTAGCCAGTAGCAGTCTCAACTTTCATGACATTCAGAATAGCTCGATAGCCCCTAATACCCCTCTGTGGTTGCCATACTGTTTGGTCTTGATCTCCAAGTTTCCACTCTACGACCTATTGGTCGATCATCTCAAGATTTCATGGGCCAGATACCACAATTCGATATACAAACATTCCCAAGAAATGTTAAAGATGCTCAACTTGTTAGTATTTCGTTTACTACCCTAGACTACCTTACCTTGTCTAGACTAAACATTTTATTTTTGTTGAAATTTTTTGTCCGCTTGATAGCTCGTTATCCAAATCCTCGCCTATCATCAAACTTCCAGTGGGCTCCTCCAAGGAGTCCAACACCAAATTTATTGTCAAGTTACCCGGGAAAACCGACTTGAGTAACGGGGGCTTGGAAGAAGTCAACGTTAGTTATTCCACACAAAAGATCGAAACGCGTCAACACTGAAATATAAACTTCGTTGCTATCACACACATGCAGTTTACGATGTGGCCGTTGTTCAAATGCTTGAGCATACATCATATCATCTCAATTTATGAAGTGAGTCTTATAAAGCTGTGACTGAGGCGGATATAATGAGATTGCAGAGAATCCGGCTTCCTTATAATGACGACATGTCCTCTGGGTTTGTTAATCGATAACAGATCGGCTTGTCGCCGATGGGTCGAATCGTCTTCTTCTCCAGCCACCCCGCGATTCTTAACATCGCCGTCGAGTCCTTCAAGCTCTTGCTCGAACTACGAGGCTGGGTCGGCCTCAGTCAGAGCATCATTCACTCGAGAGACTTCAAGATTTACTTGGAAGTTAGTCCCCCCCCCCCTAGTCTCCATCTTCCCCGACTGTTTTTTTTTGCTCAATCGGATTCTGTTGCTTCGTTCTCTGTCATCTCAGGATCCAGGGCCGTTCATCCTCGGGGCCAATTCCCAATTGAGGGATATAGCTGCCGACGTTTCGCCTGAAATTATGATAGGTGATCTTGACACCGAGTAATACTTTCAGTGTTTCTTTCTTTTTTAAAATCAAAGGAATACGCTCGCTGATTCCGGTTTGAACTTAATCTCTCAGTACTATCAAGTGCCCCAAGCCACATCCTGATGCACTATCCAAAGGACAGGACAGAATGAAGATTGAGAGAAAATTGTACAATCTCCTGGGCAACTTCACTGGGCCCAAATCGGTTCCAGTAGAACTTCAGGAAGCTTTCCCAGGCGGTAGATTCCGGCCATTCAGTGCTGTTGAGATCAAGGACCAGCCTTCTGAAGCCGAGCGATTGCTTCCTCCTCCTGAATGGAATTGGAGCCAAACTCGAACAATTATCCTTTTTGATGACGTCATGTCCAAAATGGTAAGTCACATTGGTCATTTTTTCCCCTTATCTCTACGGCATATCGAGGGCTTGGCTCAGTCCACATTTGGTTCACCATTAAATTTAACACCCCCCGATAGCCAAGGAAAGGAATCGGTAAAATCCTCAAGCGCACGACTAATCGACAAGCTGCAGTCTTAGATTCGTCGGCACTGCATGTTCAAGAGATTATCCGAAAGCATACCGTCAGATTTGTTGATAGGCGAGACATGCTCGAGACCAAGATATGGAAGTTGAACAGACGCTTGGCATTCCTGATGTCTGAGTCGATGGAGTGGAAACAGCACTTCGACAACTTTCAAAAGTTCACCGACATGTTATCGATCGAATCTCAAGATCTCAAGACTCGTCTAGAGAATGAACGACGCGAGCATCACACTTTGACCGGCGTGGTAGCTGAACAGAAGTGTCGACAAGTTGAACTCGAGGGCAGGTTATTGGAAACTGAAAAGGCTTGGATGGCTGCTCAGGTCGAATTAGCTAAAGCTCAAGAGATTCGAGAAGAATTGCAACGTCAGAAAGAAATCATGGTGAATATACACTTTCCTTTGATTCAACCCAATTGATCTATCAGATTCCCAGTTCTCATCCGCTTTCACTTTTCTTTTTCAGGTATCGGAGATGAAATCAATTGCTCTGGGTGGAGAGGACCAAAACATGGTGGGCCAAATTGTACCTCGCATAGGATCGTACGCTGGTACAGGACCTATGAGAAGATCAAGCATTAGCCACAACCGGCAAATCTCATTGACCACTAAAAACTTGCGTCGTCTGAGTGCCCAAGACCGATTAAGTTCGCCATGCTCGACTTCCCGACTCGAGCCTCACGAAGAGTCGGAATTCGAAACCGATTGTTCTCTTGGTAAGCTCGGCTCCACTGGGGGCTACCACAACTTTCTGGGAGCCGAGTCTGATGCCGAGACGGTTTCGGATGATGCGAGCGGAGTGAGCGAAATCCCAGATGATGATGAGCGGGCGTTGTTATCCCGTAGTGCGGTGGTTGAGACGATGAGAAGCATCCAAACTCGACTCGAGGCTGCACTTCGTACGGCTGGTCAACTGGATGAAGAAGAGTTGAAAGGCTACGAGATTAATTCGCCATTCGCCAAGTCGGCGTTCTCTCGCATGTCGACCGACTCTCAAGGCTCGAAAGTTATCCCTCTTCAGCGTGGAAGGAGAAAACCGAACAACAGCGTTACCTTCGAGTCCGACACCACCAGTCTCTCCATCTCTTCTTCCCCCGCTCCGAACACCCATCAGAATAACGAAACTCAATTCGTCTCGGCTGACAGCCCAACTGATGCCCTTATGTCTCAGAATCGCCCATCTAACCGTCCGGTTGGATCATCAGCAGTCTCACTCCTTCTTCCAGGATCAAGTATTTTCCGCGGAAAACTGAACAATGGACTTGGTGACTCACAGACCTCTTCAAGCTCCACTGAAAAAAGTCAAGAGAGCGCCAGTAAACAGGAAAGTGAAGAAGATGACGACTATAGGAACGATAGTCGATCTGAAGATGGGATCTCATGTGATGATGGTGCCTCATTTGTCAGCGCTAACGATCAGTCAGATAGTCTAGACCGTCGACGGATCTCGACCGATTCTTGGTCGCTCAACCCAGATCAGCAGCGCCAAAGTCTTGAACAGCCCAACTCCACCAGCCGAGTTTCAATCATTTGTGCATCACCCTCAAGACCAGAGTCTCATGCACCAGCTCCTTCCCAGACTGCTCGCAAATCAAACGCGAGGAAAAGCCTGAAGGCCAGTGAGATGATCGCCTTTCCCACCTGCCCGTCTGAGTATGACGAAGACGAGGAAGAGGGGGACCTGCGGATTCAGAGATATCTTGATGATAGTCGGGAGTACGGTTCGGAGCTGACTGGCGAAGAGCATACAACGACCGACAAGACGGTGATGGACTTGGCGAGTGCGCAACGAGCGTTTTCAGCGGCCAAGCAGCAGAATGGGAAGGTCATCAACGACAGTCTCCGGAGTCCGCGCGAGGAGCCCAATGGGATCCACCACCGGGGCAGCTTCGTTTCCAATTGCAGTTCGACAACCGTCAAGAACGTCGGAGGGCAAGGCCCGCTACCGCATTCACCACTCGTCCCGGCCCGCACCCTCCATCGCCAATCGCGTGCCTCGCACACCACCATCAAGCTCTCTAATACCCATCATCATCATCCGCTCCCCCCGCTGCCCCCTTCCATCCCCAGGGCTGATCTCGTCGACTTCCCTCTAGATCACCTCCGACTTAACGTCGGATCGATCCAGTCTAGTCGCAGACTCCGCTCGGTTCCTTCCCCTACTACCCCTCTCTGTCCCGCTAGTATTCGTAATCTTAAAGAGAATAACGCCAATTGATTGATATATATATATACTTCAAAACTTCTTTTTTTTTCTCTTGGTTTCCTGCTTCGCTTCTTGTCACCTATTACCCCCCCCCCTACTCTTTATATCTTTCTCTTCTCATTAGCAAGCCGTGCCTATCTACCCTATGTTATCTTTATTTATTCGCCCCCTTGTCTTGCATTTTCTTTTAGAGAAAAATGAAGGATGAGGCAAGACTTGAGATATATATATATATATATTGTGTTATTGTTCTTACCTGCCTGTCCCATCTTCCCTTTCTTTTCTTTTTCCTCCTTCATAAGCAGATCATCTTCTCTCTCTCTCTCTCTCTCAGTATTCATCTTTCATTCGTTTGCTTGGTCATTGTTGGCGCTTCTTCTTTTCTCTTTGTTTCGTGCTTCGTTTCTCTCTATGCTGTCCCCCCTCAACCATCCCGCTCCTCATCCACACACACACACAGCTATTATTATCATTCTTATCAATCTTCCCCACCCTTCCTTCTTCATATTTTCTTTTTTTTTTGATGGTCTTGTTGTTCTTGCTCTTGATTGTAATGTTCTTACGTCTATCCCATTGTGTTCCCCCCCCCCCCTTCCCCCTCCCTTTTTTTTCTTTCTCTTCTAGTCGTTCTTTTTGTGTGTGTGTGTGTTGGTTTAGATTGGTTTTACAAGTACACATAAATTGAAAATCCGGTGGCGCTTTTCGGCTCTGCATGTCCTTTCCAAGACGACCTGATTGTTAATGATGACTCCTCCGATCACCCGTCCCACTCTCCTACATACAAGAACATCCTGAATGCCTTACGTAATGCTTCCATGTCACTCCATCGATCTCCTTGCTCACACCTCTGCTTCTCCTCTTCTCCCTCAAAAGACTTATCCCCCCCTTGATCACGTCATCCTAGCTCACTTGTTCATCCATAAACACACCGCTTGGGATGTATTATGTCCATCACATCTACACATGTTTATGAAGATTTTGGGGGGTGGGTTATGTTGGTTTGTTAGGCTGAGATCTTGGACAAGAAATACTGAATGATGATGATGATCATGATGGCGGTGGTGGTGGTGGTGGATGTTGAACTAAAAAAAAAAAAGAAAAAAAAAAAAAAAAACCACATGCATGCATGTATGACCATTACAGAAATTTCTGCTTGTCTAGGTGGTGGTCTCACTGTATGACCTCAAATCTGCTTGGTAATAAGCTGAGGATCATCTAGCTGTTTGTACTAAGGATTGGTTCAAGTTTTTTCAGGTCTTATTCTCTGATTATCTGGATTGACATAGTTTTACTTATCATATAATTGAATGCCAAATCAAGCCTTCTTAGGCTACAATTATAAATACGTTTTTGAGTTTTTTTTTTTTCAAAACGATTTGAATCCGTCTTGAAATTTGTTCCTTTTATTTTTTTTAGGAAATCAATAGCTCAATCAGTTTTCAAAACTGATTAAGTCCCTGGTGGTTCTGACATTTGCAGACTTCTCTGCTCAGGACTCTAACTGGAGGACTGGGGAAAGGAGCAAGATCTGAGCCAAACAGCTGAATTTGAGGGAGGACATCAGAGTGCAGCTATCGGCCACTATGCAAGGCTGGTGATTGGTGTTTCAGCACAAGGGTTCTGCAAGGTTTGGCTGCAAATTCCTTCCATCCCAAATCGAGGAAAATCATGTTCTCATCATCCACTTGGAATGGAAAATCACTTGAGCTGAGCTCGCCCAACTTTTTCCAGCTCATCCAGCTCAGTCAGCTCTTGGACCCAGCTCATCCAGCTCAGTCAGCTCAATTCAGCTCTCAAACCCAGTGCAGTCAGCTCTCAAACCCAGCTCATCCAGCTCTGGGATCCAGCTCATCCAGCTCTGAAATCCAGCTCATTCAGCTCTGAAATCCAGCTCATCCAGCTCAAAAACCAGCTCTAATCCCTAACCCTGAATTCCAATCCCTAAAGCTAAAACTAACCCTAACCCTAACCCTAAACCTAAACCTAAACCTAAACCTAATAGCCCCCCCTAGCCCCTAACACCTAACCCCTAAAACCTAACCCCTAAAACCTAACCCCCTAACCCCTAAATTGGAGCTGCCTTTGGTGAGGCTTGAACCCACAACCTCAGGGGAGGTGGAGGGCACGCTTAGCTGACTATGCTACAGAGACTGGACTGAGGATTTAGTGTTGTTTGTATTTTTATATTTTTAGGGGACCTCATCAGCTGGATGAGCTGGGTCCCAGAGCTGACTGAGCTGGGTCTGAGAGCTGACGGAGCTGGGTCTGAGAGCTGACTGAGCTGGGTCTGAGAGCTGACTTGAGCTGACTGATCTGGATGAGCTGGGTCCAAGAGCTGACTGAGCTGGATGAGCTGAAAAAGTTGGGCGAGCTCAGCTCCAGCCATTTTCCATTCCAAGTGGATGATGAGAACCCACGTTTCCTCGATTTGGGATGGAAGAATTTTGCAGCCACAGGTTAGGGTTCTGTAGCATTTATCCTAGTACACAGACCCGTACACAGACCTCTTGGCCCTTGAAAAAGATGAGAAATCTTTGAAATTAAAAAAAAAAAAAACTCAAATCGACCCTCCAAGCCAATTTGAGATCTTTTTGAGGAAAAACATAAGAATTGTTTTTTGGGATCAGGTTCAAAACAAACTCAAAAGATTCTCAAAAAAATCTCCAATAATTGTAGCCTTATAAGTATATAACAGGATTCCACAATTAGTCAAGGTAAAGTCAAGGTAAATGACTGTGCCTTGGATGGTTTCCCATAGTGCAGTGGATCCATGGGTTCCCCAGTGAGTTAACTACAATGAATTTATCCTTTCACCTTTGCAAGCGTACTATGGCCATGAAAGGCTTAATTCCTTTCAAAAATCTATAAAATAAGACCAAGACAATTAGAAACTTGAATCTGAATTTGTAAATGGATCTAGGTTAAAGAGAAAATAAAGAACAGCCATACCAGCAATTGCACTGAGATTCTTGTGTGGCTCTTTGATTTTCAAACAGAAGGTAAAAAAAAAACTACTAAGCCTTGAAGTGTGTTCTGTTTAGAATGGATAATGTGAGTTCTAGTCTTCACTTGGAAAGATCTAGTGATTAGCCGAAGGAAAACATTCAAGATTG